ATGTGGGTTCTGAGAATCAAGCCTGAGTACACACGGAGTCTTCTCTCTATCCCAAGATGTCTTTTCACATAAATTTTAAAAGGTAAAATTTCTTAGAATACACTTCTAATATGTTTATCTCAAAATTATTAAAGCTACATTTATTACATTTAGGCATAAAGATTCACTGATTTAAGCATAGAATTTGGGAAGATGAGTTGAAAGGAATGCTCAAAATTGTGAGCTACAGTCTTGGCACTAACTGAGTTAACTGGAAAAGTCATAAATAGTCACAAACATTCTTCATGAAAGTGGTAATAAGATCAGATTTCATGTGCAAATTTTTTAAAAATAATGGGATTTTGTACTAATAAAGTGTCAGTATACTATTTCCTTTGAAGCAGAAAATAAACTTTCATTTCTGAGATAATATGGAAATATACCTTATTTATAGTAATCGCTTTTCTCTATAATTGAAGAGAAAAATTTTGCGGGAAAGCACTGCATAAATTTCGTTGACTATGAAATGCTTTGTGTTATGATAGAATTCTGCCCATAAGTGGAACTTCAAGAGCAATGTTGTCAATTGAGAGTGTTCTGCCTGTAGGCTATTCATGAGACTTGGATGTGATGAACAAGGAAGTGAGAGAAGAAACATGTATACATATTTTTTGTGCTGACAAGCACCACCTGTCTCTTTACCCTGGCTGAGATCATAAGAACATGACTCTGTATTGAGACAACGTCAAAACAAAACAAAACAAAACACTGTGTCTATTCCACAGCAAGATGGAAAACCTGGGTAAAATTATCAGCCAAGACAAAGTATCATAGTAATCACACCAGGAATAGAATGGCTATTTATAGGCCGTGTGTGGTGGCCCACATTTCTAATCTCAGCACTGTGAGGCAGAGGCAGTTGTATCTCTGTTAGTTCTAGGTCAGCCTGTCTATCTGAAACTATTGTCAGTTTCAGAACAGTCAAGGCTAAGTAGAGAGATTCTGATAAAAAAAACCTACTTCATTTATAAATATAAAAAAAATTCTAGTAACAAGTAGGGCTGGAAAAATAATGGTATGATAAGGCAACAGATTCAAAACAGTGCAGGGAACAGGATTTGCTGTTTGGACACCACTTGATAGAAATATGATTTGCAGCAGCCGCATTGCCTTGTGCATTAGCTGTGCAGACTGAGCTGATCAAGAATGCTTTAGCGGGAGTAAAAGTGGATGAGACAAATGTGAGCCAACAAAATGGATCTCACAGGGGATAATGAGGTTGAAATAAAAATAAGAAAGGCATGATGAGAAAATGTCTGCATAGTAGTTTATTTCAAGAGAAAAGCTTGGTATCACACTGAAGCACGGGGTGTATGGCATGCCTAATAAAATACAATACAAAAATGTGAGCTACGGTAAGCCCTGGCAAAAAATTATACCATCTTGCCAATTAGTACAGGAACTCCTACAAAGCCTTGCCAGGAGTGTTCTGTGAGAGAGCACTTGAACTATGGCTAAGTGGAGTCCTGGCCCACTGGAAGATATTGTTACGTTCAATTTATTGGACAGCAACTCAGACTTGGATAAGTTCAGAAACCTGCTCAGGGTTATATAACTAAAAATGATGAGGCTAGGCTGTCTAGACTTGGAAGCTAGAGGTGTCTAGAATTCATTATTTTCAAAGGCGTACTAGAGGAAAATTTATATGCACATCTCATGTATGAAGGATCTTGGAAAGAAGCAGAATAGAACACTGTTTAATGAACTTGCTGCAAAGGAACATTGAAGTGGTGAGGAAATGTATGTCCCTGTATGTTCGGTGGTTATCACAGAACTATGATTCAGAAACATATCAGAGTGGATTCTGTGGGTGCATTCATTTTAGAAAAGCAAATTTTAAAGGGCGGGGAGCATTATGGGAAAATCACAGCCATTTCAACAAAATCTCTGCAGGACAGGCTTTTACCATGAGTATGAAGAAAACAACCCTAAACCTCTCTCAAACATTTCTGCTTTGTCTGAAGATAGGAAAACATTTGTTGGCAATTAGCTTTCCTTTTAGCTTATATTTATAGGAAAGGATTCTGACTTTCATATATAACAGGAACTTTAGGTAGGTAGACAAGTTTTGAGACCAGAGAAAGGATAAGAAAAAAATGGGCAAATCTCACTGACTTAAGAAGAAATCCCCCTCCCCCTCCCAGTTGTAATGAGAATTTACCTGGTTGATCTAAGAAAGTACAAATGAAGAAGTCAAAAGCTGAAGATAAACTGACTTTAACATTGGAAAAAGATTTGTGTAGAAAGAGCAAATACTCAATGGTTAAGAACACTGGCTGCTCTTCCAGAGGACATGGGTTAGATTCTCAGGGCCCACTTAGTAGCCCATAGCCTTCTATAGCTCCAGTTTTAGAGGATCTAACACTCTCTTTTGGCCTCTATGGGCACCAGGCACAAGGGTGATACACAGACACACATTCAGGCAAAATACCCGCAGATTAAAACAACAAGATTCCTCAAAAATAGATCTTTGTAATAAATCAGGGAAGGACATCAAAAATGAATTATTCTTGCAAATAAGAATTTGCTTTTGGTCTTCATGTTTCAATGTACACATTTGTATATGAATGCATAAGACATGAGTATCAATGAATAAATAATGTGCAAGAACTTGAAATAAAATGAAAATGATGTGTGAAAACAAGAATGCTCTAAGACGCTCCAAATAATACTATTTAAATATCAACTATGCTAGGAATATAGAAAGGGGCCAGTGAGATGTTTTCATGGGTGGAGGTGCTGGTGTGCTGGCCTCCAAGCATGACAATGTGAGTTTGATCTGCAATACTCACGTGGCAGAATTTAAGTAGTGACTTCTGCAGACTTTCCTCTGACCTCTGCATACATTCTCATGTGTGAGCATTTCTGCTCATACATGCCAAATGAATAAATGTAATTGTTCAGAAAGCAAGGCTATAGAGATGGTAACTCTGTCAACTGGGGGAAAATGAGTGTGTTGGTCTGAAATGTTTCATGTTTATCGATCTCAATAAGGAAAAGCACACAGCTGGAAGAAGCAGGATGTTATTTAGAAATGGGCCTGGGAATAATCAAGTAGCCCTGTAAATGTGATGATCATCAAAGAGACAGCTTCTGAATGTTCTGGGGTCAGATGAGAACCTAGATAAGAATGCCATGCAGATCAAAGACCTTGTGTTTGTATGATTTTCCATTTCAAGGATTAAAAACAGTAATGATGAGTCTTGCTGTAGACTATTACTTTAATTGTGTAAAGGTATAGTACATTTGCTTATGCTGCATTTGTTTAATGATGTAAAAATGTGTCTTTATGTATGTAAAGATGTGTTGCATCTGTTTCACCTTTTCTCCCTAAGGTACCTGATTGGCCTAATAAAAAGCTGAGCAGTCAATAGTCAGGAAAACAGGAATAGGTGGGGCTGGTGGGCAGAGAGAATAAGTAGGAGGATGAATTGAAAATTGAGTGGAAGAACAAAAGAAGAAGGAGAGAACGAGAGAGAAAGTGAGGGCACACAACAGAGGCAAGAAGACAGCCTCTGCGGCCAGGAAGCCAGACATGAGAAACAGTGAAAGTAAAATATACAGAAGGAAAGAGAAATAAATAACCCTGAGGAAAAACTCAGATAAAGAGAAACAGGTTGCTTTAAGCTAAAAGAGCGAGCCAGAAAAGTGTTAAACTAAGGTAGAGTGTTCAAATTCAATAATAAGTCTCTGTGTCATGATTTGGGAGTCAGTAAGTGGTCCAATAGAAAAACTCTTTTATAAGAATATACAATGTTCTAACCTTGAACCTTACATTACTAGATATTTTCTTATCAATGATGTTAAGAAGATAAAATAAATAGTTTTATGGTAACAGTTGGACAGGTTGGTAGGATACCGATTCTGGTAGTTTGAAAGAAATGGCACCCAAAGAGAGTGGCATTACTAGGAGGCGTGGCCTTGTTAGAGGAAGTGTGTCACAGTGGGGGGTGGGCTTTGAGCTCTCTTTTCCTCAAGCTTTCCTTAGTGTGGCTTTCAGTTGACTTCCTGTTGCCTGAAAGATGTAATACTCTCAGCTTCAGCACCATGTCTGCCTCCACACTGCCATGCTTTCTGTCATGATGATAATGGATTGAACCTCTTAAACTGTTAGTCACCAGATTTAAATGTTTTCTTTATAAGAGTTGCCAAGGTGTCTCTCCACAGCAACAGAAGAAACCCTAGCAAAGACAGGGATTAAGTGTTGATTTCCAAGCAATTTTGCTTTTATTGTCCTAACTCAGATTTTTATTCTTTGATTTTAGTTAAGGAATTGGGACATGTACTAAAAATCTGTATGTGATTCATAGTTTCTTTCACAATACTTCGCCACATAGAAATATCCACATAGAAAATGTCTGTAACATGAAATAAGTTGGATATCTACATATAATCTCAAAATTGTCAGTTATATCAACAAGCATTGAGTTTATAGTGTTTGTGTAAAGAATATATAAATCATTTCATACATCTTCAGCTAAATTAGAATAATTTACTTTATTACTTTTCAATTTTCTAAATTATTTATATTCTTCACACATAATAACTTTTAAAACATTTTGTTTATCAAGTAAAAATATGTATGACATATAGCCTTTTAGGACAAAGTGCAATGAATTCATACAATCCAATATATACCAGAACATCCTAAATTCCTTTTGTTGTATTGTGCGATATAATTTCTCAAGACATCTAGCAATAGGCTAGAATAGCAATAGCTGTTCAATAGGCTCTTAGGGAATTACTTTAATAGGTAAATTCCCTAATCTATATAAAAGTGCATAGATTAATTCAAAAGATTAGTAATTCATTCTGAGTAGTTTCTATAAAGCAATATTATGATAAAATAAAATAAATTCTGCAATACATTCAAAATATGAATAAAAATTACAGCAACAAAGTCTCAACAAGAGAATACAAGAAAACGAAAACAAAATCAAAACAGATACTAAATTTCTCACCTGACGAATACCCAACCGGTATGCAACTATTCGATCCACGGCATCAGGATTCATTTGTGTCCACTGTAGACTGTAGGAATATACTCGGTGTCGGTTCTGCCACACAGGGTTGTAGGTGTCGTAATAGAACTCTGGGGCATAGGCCTTCCCTGAAACAGAAAGTGACTCAATGTGACTGCAGGCACATCAGACCTTCAACAAACTCACCGCTCTCTTGGTCTCATCACTTTACATTCTGCTTTTCATAAGGAACTCTCCTACATGAAAACTCATCTTATTAAAGTAAAATCCATTACCTGATTGGTTTTGAAAATAGAAACATGAAAGGTTGACTTGAGTAGCACTATAAAAAAGGAGAATCAAGGAGAAAGCTAAGGTTATAGGCTAAGTAACTCTGAGAATAAAATTTCTACCAGCTGAAACAGAGAGCTATTGAAAGATTGAATTTTTGTAGAGACATTCAGAAAGACACATTTTTTTTAAACAATTTGAGTGATAAATTGGATATTCCAAGTATATAGTGGGATTTAACTAGGCTGGAATGGTGAGCAGTAAGAATTAATGTTATGGTCTTACTAGGTTAAGGCATACTCAGAAACTAGAGTGCTGAGAGTGAGGGCATTACTGAAGAGATTTCAGACACTGAGAAAAGATGATTAAGTTCTGAGAACTGATACAATCCGAGGCTAAAAACAATGAGAAGAGCCTTCAAACCTGAGAGAGTGAGCAGAGAAGAGAAAGAAAATTTAAAAGACGAAGTGTCATCAAAGAAGTGTGGTGGGAGATGCATTATCAACTCCCTTGTGGGGGATCATATAAAAAATCCTGTTTTTTCTTCTTGTGGTCAGTAGGTCTATAAGTTAAGATTTAAAGTTCTGAAACTTGGAAGAATCAATACAGAGTACTTTGTATCAAGCTCACTAACTTCCATCAAGTAAACGAAACTGGAAACATTAATCAAAATACGCATTACCCAGAAGAATGTCCTCAGTGCTGACATATGAGAAGAATGCATATGCCTCTAGTTTGCTGGTAAAATTAGAGAAGGTGTAGTAAATATCTGAATTCTGGTAATATGTTTCAAAGTCTTAGCATCAATAGTGTGTGCTGGTTATTGTTAATTGCTCTGTGACATCTAGAATTACATTTTTCTTGGTGTTGGCTTTTGATTCACAGACACATTTTGAACATCTGACCATACAATTCAATGAGAACAGATTTTATTGTTTTAATCTGCTCAATTTATGATGATTATAGTATCAATAAACTGATGCTAGTTTGTGACTAACTAACTGACAGTGAAAACACTCTATGAATGAACTGAATTTGTAATAATTTTCTTGGAGCAGTATGTCAGAAAATTTTTGAGATAAACTGAATAGCTCATATGACAGATGAGGGGATGCTGACCTAGACTTATCGATGGCAGGTGAAAATGATATAGACAAATAATTAACACAGTAAGATCTTTCATTCAAAAATTAAAAATAGAGTTTGATAAAGCTTTCCTTTTAATTTATACTATCTAAGAATTAAAGAGGAGATAAGATTTACATGGTACATATAGAGTATTTGTTAGTAACAAATTCTGCCATTGCTATAGATGCTCTATAGATTTTAAAAACACATGTGAAACGTTTTCTCTGATGGTCTTTATTTATTCTCTTTCATTTGTTAGAGGAATGACACATTGCTATGGCAGGAATGTAGTTCTGAGCTCTGACACCCAAACATGACATCTGCTGGCTGAACAGAGAAAGAATTCCCAACTTTTTTTTTCTGTTTGCAGAGTATGTGCTTTCTTTTAGTTCTTGTGAGAAGGCAAAGATTTTCTCTTACTATTTTTTATATTCTAGTTTTATTTTTATGCATGCTCCAGTTTGAAATTTTTAGATTAGCTGACCTAGATCTATATCCACTATTTAAATTTGGAAATCATTTTTTTAGATCTTAGGTTTTACAACATTCTTAAAATATACAGGCAGAAGTAATTGTAGTACTCAGAGTTTTGCACACAATTTATATAACAAAATGAACAGTATATTTGCAAAAAATTCCTTTTAAGTGATAACACAGTTATTTTCAAATACAATTTCAAGCATAAAGATAGAAATAAATATACTGAAGCAATCATTTGCATTTAAAGCATTAAAATGCTTTAGGTTATATGAACTATTAGTGTTAAGTAACATTGCATATGTATGTAGAAACAAAGGCGAAAGGGAGTGATAGTGGTCAAGAGTAAATATATTCTCTGTAATGTCAATATTTCAGAAAAGAAGCTGTAGGAAGATAAACAAATGTGTAAATTTACCTTAGCAAAGGAAAGGATTACAAAATATGTTTGAATATGTATGAGAGATATCAGATACATTTTATTTATTGAGAAATCAGCAAATAACTTATATAGGTCCATTTTGCTTTATATTCCAAAATATTGAAAAGTGAAATTCCCGCCAGAATAAACCATGATGAATTGTTGACATGACATAGCTAGTTAAAACCCTAACTACTTTCACATTGTGCCCAAGAATATTGGATTGTATTACAACAAATGTTATTGAGAAAGTATGCTTAAGCTTGCAAACAAAAATTATTCAGGAGTCAAAGAACACAGATTCTGATAAAAGACAATGAATAACAATCTGTGACATAAGAAGTGTTGACTTTTATACTCATTTGAGTTGCATATTTAGGCCCAGAAAGATGACACTACTGTATAGGTGATGTCACCACATCTGAGAAGGTCAACAGAAGCTAGAACCTCAGCCATGTTGTGTTCTAAAAAGAGATTGTCACTCACCGTTAAGGAGTAAGAATATTGCTATGAATAAAAAAAATATTGTCTGCTACTGATGCTGTACACAGGAAAGCCAAGGTCTCACTGGCTGGGACATACATGCTGTCAACGTGAAAGACAGAACTCTCCACATACAAATCTGCCTGTCCTGTTCAAATGACTATGATTTCAAAATCCACCAAAACAAACACACAAAGAAGCATCCCACTATGGGATGGCCAGGAAGGTCAATGAAGGGAGGCTAATACTGCAGCAGTATTAGTCATTCAATAATAGAAACATGAAATAAAAATGATACAAAATATATTAAAACTGGTGAATTTGTGTATTAGAGAATGAAAGAAAGGCACTGTTGGCCATCTGTGAAATAATAATTAATATTTCTATTGATGTGAAAGTTATTCTTTATGCTGAGTGAGCAAGAGGAGGATAACCTTTCTAAACTGACTGGTGTCTCTAATGGATGTAAGACGCACTTCTCATCTTCTTTACCAAACTATACACTTCTAAGAAAACTATCATCAGTACCTAGTTTGGTATCTGAAAGAACACCTATGCTTGAAGAGGACATAATAGTCTAGGGCTGAACTATGGAGAACTATGTTTGATAAAATTAGTTGTTGAACATTGACTTTATATTTCAGCTGTTCTGAAATTATCCACACAGTTTCCACATGTTTTGGGGGAAAATTTATTATGTGCCTCAATTTTTTTATTTTCCTGGGTACTCCATTATAACAATTATCTGAATGGGAAATAATATAATTACTAGAATGAAAGCAATGAGACCATTTAAAATGCAAACTAAACATAGTAAATCTAAAATTTCTCAAATGGGTATTGATTAATATAACAACATGTTATTAAAATCCAAGGCAAACAGCATAACACTGATAATACCCTGATTAAGAATTAACTTTAAAATAATAGGAGCTTTTGGCCTCTGCCTGTGTATTTTCAGTAGGGTCTGAGCATTCATAAAATGATTGTGAATCAGAGTCACCGTATAATTATATAATGAGGAAAGTAGTGACAGACCCACCAGAGAATTCCAAGGGTACATACAGTAAGACACATGCGCTGGTTGGAGGTGGCACATGTCTTTAATCCCAGCACTCAGGAGGCAAAGGTGGACCCTTGTGAGTTTGAGGCCAGTCTGGTATACAGAGTGAGTTCCAAGAGAGTCAGGCTGTTACAAAGATAAACCCTGTCTCGGAAAATTAACCAACCAACCAAATAAAACAAACAAATAAACAAAAAACCCAACACCAACAAAGAACAAAACAAAACAAAATCCTACATGCAACTCTTAGTCCTCTATCAAAGAGAAGAAAGAAAAAAAAATACCTGTTGAAGTTAGAATTACATCATCTTCAAGTTAGGTTCCAAATTTGCATTAAACAAAATAGAGGCTCCATCTTAAGCAACAGGAGATGATAGTGAATAGTTATGACAGCAAAAAAAATTGATCTGGATCACTGTCCAACTGATTTCTATTCCAGGTTCCAATACCTCTGGGTATACTTGCTCATATCTTATTTTGTTTCCTACCTGGACATGAGGGCTAAAATCTAGACTCTGTCACTATTATCATCAAATATGTCCTTGAATAGGAGCTCCATTTATACAGAGAAAGTACACCCCTCCTTCATGTCCTTAATTTATATATAGAAACTAGCGAATAACCTGCAATAATGCTAGAGTCACTAATGAAAAAAGGCACTCTGCCCACTAACTCTGCCCTCTGTAAGTGAGAAACACAAATTATTATTGTGTCCCTGGGACTCCTAGTACCTGTCATATTGTATCATTTTCTGAAAGCGTTATCAACTCAGGAAGTTTTAATGAGATAGGGCGACTGACCAAATCTGTCAAATGAGAGCTATTCATATACTATTAAACATTTAACTCAGGAGTAACAAATATATAATAAGCAACCAATAAATGCATTCAGACTTCTCCAAAACTATTTCTTAAAGCTGACTGGTAACAAAATACCTAAAAGCCTTGCATTCATCTGAAGGAACATGACTTGGGATGTGCATATGCACGCGAGGTGACAGATGGGTAAACTGGCCTAGACACTCTCAGACTGAGAGAACTGAATGTTCATGGTGTGAGCATTAACTTCTTGGCAAGGGCTGCCGCTGCACACATGGGCGGTTTTCCGTCCCTGAGTATGAACGCAACAAAGGCCATGCTGGCAGGGAATGAGAAGTGTGTTCCTTAGAATTACAGAACAGTCCTGAAGCCATACTGTTTGTCTTCTAGGAACATTTGTTTTCTGGAAAACATGTAACTTGAATTACTAGAGTCAATTTCACTACAACTCCCAAGAATAATTACAAC